TCCACAGTAGAAAACCTGATGATAGATGGAGCTAGAAAGCCTTGAGAAAAATGGAATTTTCAAGATTATCTGGATTTAATTGTCCACATTCTTTTTCATTCCTATAGATAAATGAGTTACCTGTGTCTAAAAATGTAATAGCAATGACTTTACCAGGCTGTTGTGAAATAAAATAAGGCTATATATATCCAAATTGCATAACATATTATAGGCATTTGATATATTAACTTTCTTTAATTTGAATTTATATAAATCTTTAAGAACTGTCACCATTTCCAAATATTGTATCATCTCTTGATCCCAACTAGGAGATTGCAGTCACATGTTCTAACAAAATTGTTTTGGTGTTGCTGGGGATTGAACCTAAGGCCCAATTCATGTTCTATGACTGAATCATATCTCCAGGCCTACTTTAACAGGTTTATAGTAGAAAATTCCTAGTGTGACTCAAGTTGACATGTGTTCGAGGTTCATACGATTTAATTTTCCAATATGATATCAATACACAACTTAGTAGCATATGGCTTCCAGGTATTAAAGCTGGGATAAGCAATGGTCCTGGGGTGATCTCAAGCAGAACTGTACTTAAGCAGGCTCTGTTAGGCACATAACAAGTTTCCATATGCGCTCCATCTCAATCACCTCCCCTGTGCTCTTACCTCATTATAAATAGAAAGGAGTTTGAGGGTCTGCAGGAAAAGAAAGCTGTGTGTTCTAGAAACAGACTAAGCTGAGGATGGCCAATGTGTTTCATTTCAGATTTCAACTCTAGCGGCCTGGTACTTTGCCTAAACAGCTATGCTGAGACTTCCGCGACATTCCATTTCACTAGCAAAGATCATTCTGATTGCAGGGCAGAAGGACGGTGTTAGTCCCTGAGCCATTCATGCGGTTATCCTTTTCTTTGTCCTGTTCTGTATGCTTTACAGTTCTTTTCATTATATCAGGACTATACTAAGCTATAGTAGCAATCAGAATTTGACGCGGGCAAAATTTCAGAAGGTTAAAATTTGAAACAGCTTAAATAATATCTGTTCAGTCTTCATGTGTAAGTTAATTCATTTTTAATTAGCTCCGTGGCAGTGTTCTGTGTTTTAAAATGTTGGTTTTATAGTTACTCAAGTATGGTAAAGCCACAGGTCAGGAGATGACAACCATTGAAAAGGTAGCTTGTAGTCCCAGTCCCCAAGAGGAGGGGACACGGCCCCCCCACAGCAACCGCAAGTGGAAGTACCAAAATCAGTTAGAAGGCAGGGGGAGGTGGGCAAGAGCCTTTATTACGGCTTCCCAGGAAGGGACAGAGTAGGTGGGCTGAGCAGATTTAGGATCAGCTACATTGGATAATTTTATTGCGGCCTCAGTATAAGAACTGTGCCTAATCAACGGGTACTTTGCCCTGGGATACTGGGGCAGATGGATGGTGACCCTGAGGGAGACCCCAGTGGAGAAGGCAGGGGCTATGACCTGGGTGGCTGGTATGTGAAATTCCTGCTTGAAGGAGAGTCAGTTAGTATCTCAAGGAACTGGCTATTTCTGGCAGAAATAGTCTCTCCAGGGTCAGCAAAGCCCCAAATGTCAAAACAGCATAAATACAGAAAATAAAATGACATCACATTCCATACACCTAACTTTGTGCTGGAACCTACTGAGTAAGTGAATTAGTCCAGGTCTTGACAAAAGTTGTAACAAAAGTTACATTCTTGTAGGATAGAAAAGTACTATGCACGAAGATCTAATTTCATTATAATGGAGAAAGTTAAATACCACGGGCATGATAAAGACAAGGTACTGAATCCATTGCTGCTGAAAATGCATTCATTATTTTAGTCTTTCTTCCAGTATTGATATGCTTCAAGTATTTTGCTGTGCTTACTATTTATTTTTTCAGCCTTAGAGCTATCATTATTACTTTATAAATCATCTTTATTTTTAAAAATGAATTCTGTGGAATAAAATATTCTTGAAAAGCATTGTATAACATGCACATAGTATCTTGGGTGCAAAATGAGAAAAAAATACCATGGTCAAATTAGGAAATGCTGGATCAGACAACATAGAATTTCATGCAGGACTTCTCAGGGCCTTTAATAAGAAAGCTGAACTGCAAACATCAAAGACTACTGAAATATATTACCTAGCATCTTTCAGACACATTAGGCCACAGATCCCTTCACTATTTTATCATGGGAAACATATTGTAAATAATGTATGCAAGATAATATGTATTATCAAAGCACCATGTGCAGTGCTGTGGACTGATTAAAACATGTTTAAATGCATCATTTTTGTAACCAAATAGTGGGTTTTCCAGGTGAGAAAATAAGACATCAATACCTTATGTATCAATAGTGCTATAAGGAAACAATACAAAAGATACCACCAAGTGGTGAGTAATTGATTGCCAAATGGCCAGTATTAAAAATTTTTTAAGTAGAGATGGAAGAAACAAGCAAAATGAATACACATTTTTCCCACCTATGTGCACGGGGCCAGACATACAAAACAAAAAGCGTGGTTGCTCTGTTAAAGAAGTGAGAGAAGAGGGTGGCAAGACCGGATTCTGAGTGCAGCTTGGTGAAGCCCAGGAAGATTTAGGTGGCACTGAAACCGCGTACACGCAAACTGCCTGAGGGATCTGAACTGATTTGGTAGATTTGGGCTTAAGTTCAAGATGCTGCATGTCTACGGAGCTGCTGACCCAAGGTCACACTTCGAGAAATAAAGAGCAAGAGTTGGCAAACTTTTTCCCAAAAGGTCTAGAGAGCGCTGTGGGCTGGCAGACTGTACAGTGTGTTGCAAGTACTTCTCTACCTGTCATTGTAATGCGAAGCAATCATGGACAGATGCATAAAGCAGCGTTGCTTTACCTTTTTTAATTTATTTAGGGAATCTGAAATTTGAATTTTACAATATAATTCCTGATGTCACAAAATATTACTCTTCCTGTGATTTTTTTCCCAAATATTTTAAAGTAATTAAGCCATTCTTCACTCACAGTCATGCAAAAACAGGATTGCAGGCTACGGATTTGCTGAGTGAGAGGACACAAAGCAACATTTGTGTGACTGACAAGTGTTTCCCTAAGGTGTACATTTGCCAAAAGAAACAAATCTTTCCCTTAAACCTCTATGGTATTGTTTATGCTTCATTTTTCTTTCTAATACTGGAATTTTACCTTTTTGAATAATGGAAAGTAAAGTCACTAATGGACATGCGAACTCCTCCTCACTTTTCGAGTGTACCAGGCATTACTTATCACCTGTATTATGAAAAGCAGTGTCTTCTGAGAAAACCTTCAGCAGTATTGAGTTGAAGTTGACCTGCTGAAGAAGCCTTTGGCTTGCCTGTGGTTAAGGGAAAGTGGGTCCTCAATGGGACTGATAAACAAGGTAAAGATTCCAATGAGGAGAAAGTACAACCAAAGAAAAGTAAGCAAATAACCCCTCCGGGATGTGTAGGAAGAAAGAAGACTATAGAACTATTCAACAGAAACAGGATTAGTATAGAAAAAGGATAGAAAATAAAGCTAGGCCAAAGTATATGAAAGACCTCAATGACAGATCTGAAATTTAAGGACTGATTTGTGTAGATGAGAATTTTAAGAGCATTAATTTGATGGTAGACTATAGAAAGAATTTAGTTAACTGGAGATAAAGAGATCAATTAAAACTAAAGCTACAGTGTGTGCAGATGGCTTTGGAAAGAACAGAAAAAGGAAGAGAGAGTGGAAGATGGTTCTAGGCTGCATAATCCTTCAAGTCTTTATGAAAACAAAAGCACATTTTTCCCTAACATCAAGAAATATTGCCCTTCTCAGTTGCCTCCAGAATAGTGTGGGTCGCACTGCATAGAATGCTCAGTTGGCTGGTTATTTTATGTTCTTTAATTCCCAAAATCTTATCTATCCATTTCTGAGTATCCCATATTTAATTTTTAGTATTGTTTCCTGGGTTAATATTCTGAGTATTAACAACCTCATTTGCTTCATTAACTTTATTTCCAAATTAAATATAAACAAGCACCTATATTATGCTACTCTAGACAAAGGGAAAAATTAGTCTATAGTGCCATATTTGCACAACAGGATGCCCAATCCAAAGAATTTTATGAAAGATTAGACTCAGAGAAGAATCGCTGTCACAATCAAGAGCTAAATGAACTATATAGTCCCACAGACTTCCATACTGCTAATTGGAGGTGACACATTCTCACATCTTTACTTAAAAATAAGTCACATCTGGGGACCCAGAGAAACCTTTTTCAGTTTAAAAGTGATCGAATGCTGTTGAGAGATGGAGGTGCTAAGGAAAGAGAAGAGAGTGTGTTAAAACAGCCTGGCTGGCTGCAGCCTCCCACCCCACAGTCCTGGCTGTTCGGGAAAGGAAAAGTGCTGACCAGTAAGAACCAATTACAGAATTACTGCTCTGCCTCTCTGCATCTTGGAGACCAAGGAGGTCTGCTACAAAGTTTTATAAATATCAAAAATGTGCAAGGCATTGAATCTGCTATTGGTCAGCCAATCAGAATGAACAAAGGATCAACAGGATCAACAAAAATGTGGCTGCTTATGATTTTTTTAAAATAATGGTGCTACCCTTAAAGTAGTAGATCTTTTCAGCATAATGTTTATATTACTTTTCAGTTTTTCTCTAGATTTGAATAGTAGATAAAATCATAAGAAATGTATGAGGCATTTATTATGAAACACTTTGAACTTCAGCTTCTTTTAATTTTGCAACCAAAATGGCCTAGGTCTAACAAGGTCCCTCATTTCTAAGTTGATAAAATATGCAAGATGTTTGTCAAAGAAAACCTACAGGAATTGTCTAGTCATTAATTTTATGTTTAAAAGAAGAGTTTCTGTAACATTGACACAGATCTTTCATCAAACAAATGTCTTATTTCAATAGCATCCAGCCTTTTATTTCTACTTTATTTTTTTTAAACTCCACCATTTCCTCTCTTACTCTGCTGTCCTTTGACCCCCATTTGGCCTGCAGATGGTTCTGTGAGGGGAAAGAGCTACACAACACTCCCGACATTCAAATCTTCTGTGAGGGCGGGGACCTCCATACCCTGATCATAGCCGAGGCCTTTGAGGAAGACACAGGCCGCTATACCTGTCTGGCTACAAACCCCTGCGGCTCAGACACAACATCCGCTGAAGTGTTCATTGAAGGTAAGGAGAATCCCCTGGGAAACAGAGTATCAAAGGTCCTGTAACCCAAGGATCATTATAGGGAGCACTGAGGATATGTTTTTCCAATGCAAACAGCATGATGTTATTGTGATTCAAACCTTGCTTCACGAAAATCTGTCAATAAATCAAATGGTTCTGACATTTAGGCACAGATCAACTGTGTCTAACATCAACATTCCTTCCTTTTAATTTACAGTGTTTCTGCTACATTGACATGAATTTATTTAAAATGCAAAATATCCAACTTATTTTTTTCTTTCTCAAGTAAATGAAGCATGGGAACATAATTAAACTACCATTTCAACTAAAGTTAAACTTTTAAATGATTTAGGAAATCATTCATGGGAATTTTAAGTAATTGAATATTTTTAAGTGTGCTCATTCTATTAAATTCTAGAACTACGCCTCTTTTGTTAAAACTCCATTATTCTTGCTAAATGTACTATGAACTTACAATCACTAGATAAGAATAATTTCAAAAATTAATGAACTAAAAACACTGGGGGAAAGATAGCCTCCTTGAAAAATGGTGCTAGAAAAACTAGCTATTCATGTGCAGAAGATTGAGTCAAGACCCATGCCTTTCACCGTGTACTAAATTAAAATCAACAAGGACCAAAGAACTAAATGTTAAAAAAGAAACACTTAACCTGTTGGAAGATAAAATGAGTAAAATTCTTGAAATCATAGAGTAGGCAAGGAATTTCTGAACAGAGCCCAGGTACATGTAAAATATTACCAGGAATCAACAAATGGGACCATATCAAATTAAAAAGCTTCTGCATGGCAAAAGAAACAACAAACAGAGTGAAAAGCCAACTGACATAATGGGAAAAAATTTTTTCCAGTCAGCTATTCCTGAGACAGAGAACAAATATCAGGAATATATAAAAGTTTCAATAGAATTAGACCCTCCCCCCAAAATAAAAAATCCAATTAAAAACTGGGCAAGTGAAATGAATAGACACTTCACAGAAGTACATATGGCTAATAAACACATGAAGAAATCTTGAACATCACTGGCCATTAGAAAAATACAAATTAGAACAATACTCAAATTCTATCTTACCCCAGAAAGAATGACCATCATCAAAAAAAAAAAAATCAAATAATAACAAATACTAGCAAGGCCGAGGGGAAAAGGAATTCTTCTACATTGCTGGTGGGGATATAAGTTAGTATCATCACTATGGAAATTAGCACGGACATTCCTCAGATAACAAAAAATATAAATTCCATTTGACCCAGCTATTTCCCTTCTAGGTATTTTCACTAAAAAGTTAAAGTCATCGTTTTACAGTGATGCATGCATACCACCGTTTACAGCAGCAAAATTCATAATAGCTAAATCTTGGAAGTATAACAGTAAGTTTACATAAAGTACCTTAAAATGAAATGCTTTATTTGCTTGCAGGATTACTAGGAATGTGGTGAATTTTGGAATGCACTGCTTCTACACTACAGATATTAAATGAAGTCATATTAAATTTAAGTGATATCCTAATAACTTAAGTATTATCCTTTCAATTTAATGCAACCTAGTCTTATTGAAATCCTACTAAGTGCTACCGAGTGCAGTGTAAACACAGTTAATGTACAGGCTCTGGATACTGGAGAGCTCCCTCCGATCTTTAATTTTACTTAATTAAAATGTAGTTCTTCTAAATAAAAACTTCAGAGCTGGCACTGAAGGCAGCAGGGTGAGTTTCTCAGGATGGTTATAGTAATCTCTAGTTCTGTCTGCCGTGTGAGTTTTATGTTCAGGACACCAACAAAGATGGCAGGTGTTTCCAATGCTCGGTGTTTCCCAAAATTACCACTGAACTTGGCAAACCAGCCTCAGGTTCTGAGACTTTGGATTGTGTGTGACTCTAAATAAATTGAAAGGAGGACAAAAGAGGTGAGCATGACAAGAATAAAAACCCATTCTGAGCCAGAGATTTTGCTCAGTGGTTCTGCTGCCTGCTTCGCAAGAGCAAGGTCCTGAGTTTGATCCCCAGTACAAAAAAAAAAAAAAAATCTGATGCGTCTTTTATAAAACTTACATAAAGTGTTTTATAAAACTGGCTCATTGACCCGGATATGGATAATGACTTTTTAAGAGAGAAAGCCTAATGTGTTTTTATTCCTTAATAAATTATACAAAATGAGGAGATACATTCCTAGACTCGTGTTATGACTCAAAGTAATAAGTTTTTATACTTTACTGAAGCAAGCACTCAGATTCAGGTGTATTCCCACTGAGTTGCTTCCTCAAGCATGTTGCTATTACTACATCAAAATACAGTCACTGGGATTCTATCAGAGGGTAGGACGTTTTATACAGAATTTTAGATCTTAACAAAGCCTTCTCTAAAAGTTTAACAATTTGCCAGTTGGAAATCATCTGGGGCCGGCGATTTAGCTCAGTGGTGCTGCCACCTACCTCGCAAGCGCAAAGACCCAAGTTCCATCCATGGTACCAAAAAGAAAGAAACAACAAACATTTGAATTCCATTGTCCTATGTACTAAGTTTTACAATAATGCAACAGAAATCATAGCCTAAGAACAATAGCTAGCATTCATATAGTGTTATCCAGTGCCAAATACTATTCTTCATTTTTACGTAGATTATCTCACTTGATCCTTACAAAATCATCTGGTTATTCAGTTAAGGAAACTGAAGTGTAGGGCAGCTGAATAATAACTGAAATGGCAGGTATACGCATGTATGCCTGCCCACACAGTAAGGCCGCCTGATCCTAGACTTAAGCTCTTTGTAGCTACAGCATAAAACACCAAGGATTTCATTATCACTGGGGCCACTTATGACCCTTGCTTTCATCTGGTTTCACAGTTTAGGATATGAGCCGAGCATTTTCCAGGTGACCACAGTATTCGGGCAGTGGTTCAGTCACAAAGAACACATCAGTGAATAAGGTAGGCACTGGCATACCAGAAGAAGAAAGAGAGTGAGCCAGTAAAATCCTAAATGATTCCAAACACCAGCAAGTCTGTGAAGACGATATCAGGAAAGGCACTCTGCAGAGATAACCTTTGATCTATACCAGAACCCTGAAAAGGAGCTGGTAGAGAACACTGGCGAGAGAGTGCTCCAGACACAGGGAGTGAATCCAGAGGCCCTGGGTGGGGGAAACCAGATGTGCTGTAGGAGCAGAAGGACATTCAGGGCAATTAGAGCATCATGGGGAGGGGGTGACCCAGTGGGCCTTATGGTCACTGTTAGAATTTGGCCTGGATTCTCAGTCAAATTGCAAGTCATGGAGGGTTTAAACTGAACAGTCCCTCAGCTGATTTGAAGAAGAAAGTGTTTGCCATTTTGTTACTTTGTTTTACAAGTACTGGGGCTCAAGCCCAGGGCCTCACACATGCTAGGCAAGTGCTGTACTACTGAGTGACAACCACAACCCTTCTAATTTATATTTTATCCTGCTGCTTTGGTTTATAATTAGGGAGCCAGATTAGAAGCCTGTTTTAGCAGGATAGAGGGGCATGACAGTGCTCCAGGAAGATGTGTATACATGCGAGAGAGAATTCAGAAGTAAGCTCTCAAAGCCCTGTGATGGGTTAGATGTGGCAGTGACAAGAAAGGAAGTTCAGATGTGAAAACTCCGTGGGTTTCAGTTCTACCATTTGTGTGGATAACACTGCCAGTCTCTGAAATGGGGAAGATTAAGGAAGAACAGAATTAGGGGATAAGAGGAATAGTGCTCTGACTTGAACATAAGTTTCAAATCCTTATCTGGCTAGCCAAGGTGAAGTCACAAGTCAATATTCGGACATATGAGCGTAGTCTAGTGCAGAGTAAGAAAACTTGATTTTGGCATCTGGACATGGATGGTAACTGGAGCTGTGGGAATACTTACAGTACCAGCCCGGTCAACTAGGAAGAAAGAGGAAATGGGAAAAAGAGAAGGCCCTGTCTCATCCTGCAACACCCCCACCTGTTGAAGGATCAAGAGGAGGAAGAGGCATTAAAGAATAAGAAGGAAGAGCCTCAGGGTGGGAGAGAAGGCAGCCAGAGTGATGTTAGAGGAGGCGAGGAAATTGTCACAGGAAGGTGGGCTTGCTGGCTGTGTCCACTTTTGCTGAGAAGTCAGTCAGATGAGGGCAAGGATGAAACCACTGGATTTAGCAACTATGAATGCTGTGTTGGCGATGTTAGCAAGAGGGGCTTGGGGATTTAAGAAAAAAAACAGAAACCGTGTTTGCAAAACATGGAAGAAGTAGCTGATACTAGATACTCACTGAGGAGGTTTTGCTTAACCACCAGCACAGATGTGGGCCAGTATCTGGGAAGGAGTATGGAGTCATGAAATATTTTTTGTGGTTTGTTTTCAGGCAGAAGTTACTAGAGCACGTTTTTATGCTGATGAAGATAGTACCAGAAACAAAAATAGATTATGAGGGAGAGAGAGAGAATAAGATGTAAAGTCTCTGAAAATGGGAAAAGAAATGGAATCTGGCCCATATGTGCACTAGATAAAGAGGAGAGTGCTCTCAAGGAGTAGATGGCAATGACCCTCAAGTTCTCAATATAAATAGGAAAGATAAACATGTGACACAAATGTAGACATCTCAACTTTTCACCACTGCCTCCTATTGTGATTGTAAAATGGATCATACAGATCATCATAGCCTCAAGAGTGTGGAAGAAGAGTGGGGTGTTGGTCCTGCAGTGTGGAATAAAGGAAGCTGGATTAAACCAGACCTCGTAGTTAAAGAGGATTTAGATTTGAATCTAGTGTCGAGGCGAGCAGGGGAGCCAAAGAAAATGTAGGTAGTTGTGCAGCAAAGCACAAGCATCATACCAGTCAGCAGAGACTGCTTACAGGTTCTCGGTGCTCTTCATCGTCAGATAAAATTGGTACCCTTCAAGTGGCATTTGAAAGCAAACTGTTCTGTTAAGTGGATAATTGTTCCTGCTGATTTCCGGGTAAAGCCCTGGACGCCAGGACCAGGAAACACTGCTAGTATCAGTTGGGTATCTAAGCATACATTTCCCTTGGCTAGATTTTGAGAACTGGGGAAGACAACATGAGGAGCCGAAGCATACAGCTGGGGCATTCTTCACATACTTCCTTTAAAACAATTTTTCATAACATTTTATAACAAGCTCAGTTTCTCACTTTGTGACTTCGAGCCATTATTCAGTGGCTCTGTACTTTGATGTCTCCATCTATACTTGGAGAAAACTATATTGTTGTCAAGATTGAATGAGTTAATCCCCTGCCCAGAGTGTTGCCAGGCACGGACTGTAGGCCATAAACACTACCACAGTCATTTCAGTGTTTAAAAATGTAAAACATACAAATACAAAGAAGATATGAAAGTATGTATAATCTCACAGCCCTGTAACCATTGCTTTTTTGCTTTTCTCTTTTCTTTTCTTTTTTTTTTTTTTTTTTTTTTTTTTTTTTTTTTTTTTTTTTTCCTTCTGTTTTTGATGCTGGAGTTTAAACCTAGGGCTGACACATGCTAACCACAGATTCAACCACTGGGCTACCCCAGACTGATCTTTCTTTGTTCTTACATGCGTGTATTTTGCTGTCCATACTCTTCTGCACCCTGCCTTGTTTTTATTCATTTGTTTAGCTTAACTATTCTCTCACAAACCTCTATCCATGTCATTACGATTTCTCTCTCCTGGCCAGCAGGTGCAGGGCAAATGACTGAGAGGGTTGAAGAATCACCCTCGGGGAGGGGAGGGAACTTGCTGGCAGGGACAGGGGGATTTGATCTGCCTTCTGCTCTGACGCCCTAACACCCGAGAGGTAAGGTGACATCAAGATTTTGCAAGGGCCAGACATTTGCGCAGAAACTAGTAAATGTATTCTTATTCAAGGGACACACATTTTTTTCTGACCCTTTACCTTTCTTTTTCCGAAACTCATCTGGAGAAAGGGAGCAAGAGTGACTTTTAGTTTCGTTTTTGTGGTGCTGGAGGTAGAACCCAGGCCTTGTTCGTGCTTGACTAGCACTGGGCCACTGAGCTAGATGAATGATGCGTTAAACAGAGGTCATCTGGGGAGATTCTTTAAATGATTTAAATATTTGGAATCAGGTGAAAAATTGCTGTTTTCTGAACACATTAAGTGCGCCTGGGAGAGCTTCCCAAAGGACTTTTCCTGCCCCTCCCTTTCTCAGAAGCACCTTTATGACCCCAATTAAGTTGGTCTTCCTGTTGGCCAGGACTTTCCCCAATAACTGATGCTTTCCTTATGGTTCCTTGGGACTCCTCTGCACACCCTCCTCCTCAACCCCGTGAAACTTTCTCTTTGCCCATAGCAAGTAGACAAAGAGTGGTTTGTTCTTTGTTTTGCCCTCTTTTATGTACTCCCTCGGTTAACCTTGCAGTTAGCTTCTGCATTTATTTTCTTCACTGGAGTTTATTATTTACTGTCTTTACTGTAGTTTATTGTCTCTAGGTCGGCCCTGTGTCTCTAGATTTCTCTCACCCTCTGCCTTACTAGGCTACACTTCTCTATGTACACAGTGTACTCCCTGTCCCCAAACAAGATTTGCAATTACCTTGCTCCAAGCATTCATTCTAGAAGCTAAAGGCCCCTGACCTGAGGAAGAGTGACTCTAAGCACCTTGTGGAATAGAAAGACACACAGCACCTGAGGATCACTGGGAGCAGGGAAAGTCACCAGGTTTCGAGACACATGAGTGCAGTTCCTGGCATCACAGACTTTTACTTATATGACCTCATAGAAATTACCTAAGCACTTGGCTCCTCAATTTCACTGTCTCTATATTGGATCTGACTCTCCTCTGAGTGTGTTTCGTTATTATAATGATCAGATGATTAAAGAGCCTAGCAGACTACCGGGTAAATAGTAAATATTCACACATTGGTAGTTTCCTTTCTAACCCCATCTCAGTTCTCAGAGTAGTAATAACTTTGTAGCAGATGTGATAAATTACATGCAAAGTATAAACAACAATGCTGGGAGCTTAAAGAAGACAGCACAGAAATATGACCGGCCTGATCTGGAAAGATACAATATCAAGAAAAACCTGGGTAGGGTAGGGCCAGGGATTTAGCTCAGTGGTTCCTCCACCTGCCTCGCAAGCACAAGGTCTTGAATTCGATCCTCAGTACAAAAAAAGAAAGAGAAAGAAAGAAGGAAGGAAGGAAGGAAGGAAGGAAGGAAGGAAGGAAGAAAGAAAGAAAGAAAGAAAGAAAGAAAGAAAGAAAGAAAGAAAGAAAGAAAAGAAAGAAAGACCTGGGTAGACACATCCTAGGATAGTAAATAATATGTAATATACCACCAGTAGAAAAAGATCGGGGGAATTTTAATTTACTGAGACTTATGCATCATCTAATTATTTCATAAGAAATGTATGCTCTAGAGAAATTAACCTGATATAAGGCAAGGATGGATTTGTAAGGGGAAAAACTGGGAAGACAAAATAAGAGTCCATTGTGGTCTAGCAGCCAGGTGAAGAAGGCCCGTACCCAGTAGTTCTTACAGAAATAAATAGGAAGAGACAGAGCAATCATTCCAGCAAAGTTACCAAAGCGTCACTGTTTTCAACCTCAACAAAAGAAAGGGGACATGTAGCAGTAGAGTGACGGGAAGAAATTCTAGACAGCCATCTAAGACAATGAAGCAACGATATGCATTCTAAGTGCACAATGACAAGCAAAAGCAATTACAAGAGTGTGAACTGCAAGAGATAGAATGTGAATGCGTTTGTGCAAATATGTACATAAATATTCATGTGTTGATATATTAAACTTACCTGAAGCATAGGTCTAATTGTATTTAGGAAGTTAATCACTTAAATATTATGTCATAGGATTCGATGCTTAATTATTTTTCCATAAGCAGATATTTTACAAAATAATTCAAACAATTCAAATTACCCAAATGAAATATGTCTTAGAAGCATCAAGAATATGCTTTCAGTCATGCAATTACTTCAAATTCACTACTTAAAATCTCTTGACACAAAATATGTAAAATCTGAATGCACTAAAAATCTGATGGGATCCTTAAGTCAGGAATAGTAATGATGCAAATGAATTTGGGAGGATATAAATCCAAAATTTCTTATTTAAAAATGAAGCCATTGTCTCACTTGAATTTACCCTAGAGTCAGAAAGCATCTCCTGATTAACAAATATTGAAGATATGCTTAAGCCACACCATATGATCTCCTAAGTTAAGGCTTAAACTATGAGTATCTGTCCGCATAGAAACTCATATATATTTACTTCATCATTTTAATCCATATGAATATATAGCTACAATAGCTAAAGTGATAAAAGTGAAACTAACAATAAATACGGCATTAAAAGCATGTGGACTTCAAGGAATAGTTCTTTTAAAAAAATATTTTCTGAAGAAACAGCACGATAAAATCAATTTGACCTGAATATTCTCCATCTCGTGTGTATTTAAGTCAGAAATAAGACTTTGTGTGTTACTGTTTTAAAATGAGGAAATTACTTCTTGAAAGGAGTACAGATACTACTGATATATTAACTTTGTCATTATTTTTTAATGTTTTCACAGGAGCCAGTTCAACAGATTCTGAGACTGAAAATTTAGCTTTCAAATCAAAAGCTGGAGATATGCCACAGTAAGTTCTTCACTTCTGTCAAGTATCTACGTAACAAAGAGTGGCAACAGGATTGTTGAAGTATGAAGTCACACGTGTTGTCCATCAGGGATCAAATATCAGATCCTGGGACATAATGTTTAACTCACAAATTTGAACTTTAAAGTCTGCATTTAATCGTGAGTGTGCAAAAACTGTATCCAATGTTAGTTTCAAAGAAAACCATTTCACTGATTATGAATGTGTGAAAAGCACCGTCACACTGAGAGAAAAATCAATTGAAATATTACAACGAATGTGAATGAGGACCAAAAACATCTCATTAGGCCAGAAATGTATTTTAATTTGGACAAAATCTATGTCAAGTCAAACCCTGGACCTGAATATCAAAAAATTTAGTTATTCTTCAAAGATATGAATTAATAAAAATCAATATATTTTCCCATTAAGTTTATTGGTACACTTAAAGCAAACAGTATAGTTACATTTATCATTGGGATCTTGTACCTTTACATGATATGTCTTGGTTCTTGGTTTTTCCTGATACCCCTGCCCTCCTTTCACCCTTCCCTATTTACAAAGACCTTGTTTCCATTTTTTCCATTTTTCACATATTTTCTTTTCCCTTATTTCCTTTCCCCTCCCCTTCTAACCATTTTCTTCCTATTTCACACTATCAGTTATACCATTTGAACCTAAAATCAATATCTTAATTATTTTGCAAAAATAAAATCTACCAAGAGCCAGGTGTGGTGGTACAGGCCTATAATCCCAGCACTTGGGAAGCTGAAGCAGGAGTATTGCTGCAAGTTCGAGATCAGCCTGGACTACATAGTGAGTTCAGCACCAGCCTGAATGACAAAGTGAGACCTTATCTCAAAAAAATAAAATAGGTATATACATACATACATACATACCAGAATTAAGTAGAAAATTGTATTAATATAGAAATGTGCTAAAAAATGTTATGTGTTAATACATACATAGCCGTTATATCCATTCAAAATGCTGAGCACCCTGATTTAATCATTGCATATATGTATATGTCAAATAATCACTGTACCACAAACATATATACAGTTAAAATAATAGTAGAGTTTTCATCTGCATCTCTCGAATGACCAGTGATGTGAAACATTTTTTCATATATTTACTTGCTGCTTTTACTTCTTTGTGAAAACAACACTGAAATTCCACCTCACCCCACAAAGAATGGCTGTTATCAAGAAATCACACAATAACAAATGTTGGCGGGGTTGTGGGGAGAAAGAAACCCTTCTGCATTGTTGGTGGGAGTGCAGACTGGTGCAACCACTGTGAAAATCAATATGGAGATACCTCAGAGAACTAGGATTAGAGGTTCCATTTGACCCAGCCATCCCTCTGTTGGATATCTTCCCAAAAGAATTGAAAGAATCATATCACAGTGATATATGCACACCCATGTTCATAGCAGCATAGTTTGTAATAGCTAAAACTTGGAAACAATCCATCTTCCCATCAATTGGAAACTGTATAAAGAGGATGTGGTTTTTCTATAAAATGGAATATTACTCAGCCATAAAGAACGAGAAATTAGATTCATTCATAGGAAAATGGATACATATTGAGGATATACTCCTAAATGAAATAAGTAACTCACACGTGTAAATACTGAATAGTTTCTCTGTGTGAAAAACTATAATAGTACATAAGATCCTAATGAGATAATTGACAATGTGAAATAGGAAGAAAGGGTTAAAGGTGTAGGGGAAAGTGGGAAGGGTAGGGGAAAGCTAATAAGGGCACAGAAAAAAATATGAAAAAATTTAAAAATGGAAATAAAGTATTAGTAAATGGGGAGGGGAGGAGGGGCGAAAGGAGGGGGCAGGGACAAGGGGAAAAAATGAGAACCAAGACCTGTCGTGTAAAGGTACAAGATCCCAGTGATGAATGTACCTGTACTGTATACCGAAAATGTACCAATAAACTAAAAAAAACTAAATTAAATTAAATTTTAAAAATAATAATAGTAGAGTAATATATAAACTTTTAAAAATTATATCCATCCAGCATCAAATCTTCACAGATGTTAAAGGAACCTGCTAAGATCAGGTACTTGACCATTCCTGTTTTAACATAGAGCTAAGTTCAGTAAAGTCACAGGACTTGCTCTAATCTGAACAGCCAGTTGGCAATGGAGGGACTAAAACTGATTCTCCTTACTCCTCTCTATACCTCACTAATACGTAAGCATTAAAAAAGACAAAAATTCCAAGATACTCTCATCAAAGTTAGAAACCAGGACGAAAAACAGCTGCTGGACTTGGGGTAACCAAAGTTTTGAGTAAGATATAGAAATTTAACCCTAAAGATTTTAAACATATGCTTACTTATAAAGATTGGATTTTTTTGAGGTATTTTATTGTCTCTCAAGATGGTCAATATGAATACATTACACTCTTTAGCAATGTGTGAGTTACCTCCAGCTACTTCCCTTTTATCCATGTTTTTATTTAGCTAAATGTCTATAAAGTACATTCTCCATATGTACTAACCACAGCTATTCCTGCTGTAGATTATTAATTCTTTTCTGAAACTAATGCAGGTGAAGCGGATTGAGTATACAAAGAGAGACCACTTTGTAGAAATACATCAAGAATAATACTGCTGAAAATAAAATTCTAACTGAACACTCATGTTCCTGTCTCCCAGAGCTCAAAAGAAAACGACTTCAGTCTCCTTGACAATAGGATCATCATCTCCAAAGGCAGGAGTGACCACAGCTGTGATTCAACCACTATCTGTCCCTGCTCCACAGGTAAGTGCACCTCAGGCCAGAGCACACAAGAAGTTGAATTCATTAGCAAACTGCTCCATTTTCAGAATAAAGCTTTCCTTCTAACTACCATACTCCCTTGAAATATTTTCAAGTGGAAACACAACGAGGAGGTACAAAAGTGATAATTTCCTTTAGTCCCTTAAAAAATAATCTTGAATCAAAACCACACCACTAATTAGTCAACTTTTGCATTTGTTTTGGGAACCTCTGTTAAAATAGTACTTGTTTTAAAAGCTAACTATTTAACCACTCCTCTACCTATGTACTTTCCCATTTGGCAAACTCATTAGATCATTTTAAAAGACAGAAAAAGTCCACACACCAACAAAAAACTTTCTCTTCCCTAAAAGCTGAACAGATAATAAGAAAAAATGTAAATTCCTAGGCTTTACTATGCTTTTTTATTCCACTTTTATTTTATTGTTAGGTAGCTTTGGCCAAAATAATAATAATAATAAAAATAATACTAATAATAATAATAATACAAGCTACTAAAAAGTAATTACAGCAAATTTACTTTGCAAATAACATAGGTTTTTTTTTCTTTTTAAAGTAGAAAATCAGTGCCCTTAAATCATTAACATGTTAAGTAGAATATTTATTAAAAACATTTTCTCATTCTTTTCTAAGTCTTTTCCTAGTTTAGGAATACTGTATGTCTTATGAATATTTTCCTGCCTTCCATTAGCCTTCACAGTGCACGATACGTGCTCTGTAGTATACATAAGATGCAAACAGCAGAGGAAAAGCATTTAGGTTCATAAACTTGAACAGAATCAGCCAATCTGTTACTGTAGGGTGGCATGTACAGTAGATATTTTGTTTAAATCCCTAAATTGAGTTAAATTGTAGAAATACCTCTGATCAAATCAGTGGATTTTTCTTTTAGGTGTTTATGCATTGACAAGTATTTCTTTATGCACTAAGCACTGCACTAGACATTTCACAGCAAAAAAAGAAAAAAAATGCACTAGCCATATGGCAGTTAGGGTACAGGGTCAACTTGCTCAGCTTTGGAATCTGCTTGCGAGATTGGTGGCATATACTCTGACCTACGTATGTTGAACCATCCTTGCATCCCTGGTACAAATCCGACTTGGTCACGGCATATGATCTTCTTGATGATCCTCTGTATTCTGTTTGCTAGAATCTTATTAAGGATTTTTGCATCTATATTCATTAAGGAGATTGGCCTGTAGTTCTTGTTTTTAGTTGGGTCTTTCCCTGATTTGGGAATCAAAGTGATACTTGCTTTCAGGAATGAATTTGGAAGTATTGCTTCCCTTTCAATTTCATTGAAAAGTTTAAAGAGTGGTGACAGTAGTTCTTCTCATATGTCTTGTAAAATTCAGCAGTGAATTCATCAGGACCTGGACTTTTCTTTGTTGGTAAACTTTTAATTACATTTTCAATTTTACTGATTGCAATTGGGGTATTTAAAATGTTTTTATCTTCTTCATTCAACATTGGTAATTCCTAAGTATCTAAAAATCTGTCCATTTCTTCTGTGTTTTCCATTTTGTTAAAGTACAGGTTCTCAAAGTAGGTATTGACTGTCCTCTGGATTTCTTTTGGATCTGTTGTTACTTCACCTTTTTCATTCCTAATTGCATGGATCTGAGCCTTTTCTTTCCTTTTTTTGTTTTTTTTTTTTTGATAAGGTTAGCTAAGGGTTTATCAATTTTATTTATTCTTTCAAAAAACCAACTCTTTGATTCATTTATTTTTTTGTATCATTTTCTTAGTTTCCATTGCATTAATTTCTGCTCTAATCTTTATAATTTCTTCTCTTGTACGAGCTTTGGGTTTTTCTTGCTCTTGTTTTTCTAGGAGTCTGATTCATTGTTAGGTTTTTATTTGAGCTCTCTGTTTTCCTAGTGTAGGCATTCAGTGCTATGAATTTTCCACATAGAATTGCTTTCATTATGTCCCATAGATTCCTGTATGTTGTATTGGCATTTTCATTTACTTGTTAAACATGTCTAATACTTCTGGGTGTTTCTGAGTGGGTCATAGAGATGTGACTTTGAATTCTATATATGGTGAGATTCTATAAACTGGGCTAGTTTCCTGGCTGACACTATTCCTCTGCTCTGCTGCTTGGTTACAATGATTTAAGCAGTTTGCTCCACCTCACCTTTCTGCCATGATGCTTCTCCATTGGAGCTAGATGACCATGGACTGAATCCCTTGAAACCATGAGCCAAATTAAATCTCTCCTCTTTTAAATTGTGGGTGTTGGGTTTTGTGTCCCAGCAAAAGGAAGCAAATATGAGTCCCATTCCCTAACAGTTTATAAGGTATTCTGAGAAATAGGAAACATACACATGAAGCACTTGTTGAATATGACAGAATTTATTAAAGCCTAAAATCAGAAAAACACATATATCTATAGTTGTAAATACTATAATTATGTAAAGAGACCTAAATGGTTTTAGTTCTATAAGAACACTAAGTGGAAGGTAGTGTACCCCACTTTTAAAGTTGGGAGAATGAAGTCCTCAGAGAAACTTCATTACTGTAGTGTTATACACAGTGTGATGGGAAGGTTAACACTGTCGACCAGATTACTGGGTCCCAGTCCCGACTAACTTGACCACCTGAGAGGGCTTGAGTAAGTCTTGTAACCTCTCTGTGCCTCATTTCTTCATCTACAAAATGAAGATGAAAAAAGCCATCTATCTCACAGGGTTCTTCTCACCAAGATTCAGTGAGTTAATCTTCACATGACGCTTAAAACAATGTCTGACAGAAAGTAAATGCTACAAAAGTGTTTCTGTATTCTTTGGACATCAAAAGACAGTGAAAAATGAGACCCAGCCCCCTGAATCACAAGGCAGGACAAAGTTTTCCAGGGATAATGAATAAAGTCCATTACTGACTAAGTACCTCTGCAGCTCTGAAACCTAGTCCATGATGTCCTGTAACATATTTAGATGCACTGGAACAGACTGCCATCATTCTGAGTTAAGAAGCTAATGACCATTTATATAAGTGAAGAAATCCAAATTATTTGAAAATAATTACACACAAAGCAGTCGTTTCCATTTACTACTCTAAAATCTATGTATTTCCCCAGAAATTAATGTCATTTCACCCCTTTGTTTTGCACATCAAGAATAAATTCCTTTTTTCCTCATTGCCTGAAATCCTTTTTGAAAGAATACAGGTTAAAATAGAAGATGCAGATGCTTGATCATTTGCTTTACCCTCCACTGCCAACAGCTCGTGCTTTTGATTCAACGAATCCGGGCTGTATTTTAAAATAAAATATAATGTCTGTAAGAACTTCTAAAAGGACCCCTGTGGAAGTCCCACACAGAGAAATCCATTTGGTAATAGCATTTAAAAGCTTGGAGGTCCCCTAGGACCCAGAGAGCTTTTACCTTGAATATCCTTTTGAACAGAGAAGAGTAGCAGATGTGAACTGAGGAAGTGGAACAATGTCTGTGCTGTAAGAGGAGACCAGCGAATGATGTATGGCATTGCTTTCATTCACTCGTTTCATTCAAGTGGAGCGATCCCAATAATGAAAGGTTTCTTTAGCCCATCTTTTCAGCGATTTATATATTTAGAATCTGATCCATGTGTCTCTGCTTTTTCAGGTTCACAGTCCAACTTCATATCTCTGCCGACCTGATGGAACCACCGCAGCCTGCTTTCCTCCTGTTTTTACAAAGGTCTGACATCTGGAAGTCTCATTCTCAATGTTTGCTTTGGTCCTTGAATTTCATTCACATGTGGCTTTGGGTAGCAGCCTTTAAAAATTAAAATGAACAGCTTAGTGGACTGATTATCATGGCTACCTTTGGGGCTGAACAGATATTTGTGGATCTGCTTGGTGAGCGTAATCTTGCCAAAGGTCCCAGCGATGCGAGCTGTGGGTGTGGACAGGAACCTGACAGCCTCAAATCTAGTGGGAAAGCTGAGATGGGTAGAAAAAATAGGATACCGTGTGGTGTTAAAAATACCCCCGTCATTCTGTGGCTTCTCTTCAGATCGTATAAATCTTTCACCTTTTAAAAATCCCCCCAACCCCACAAAGCAAATTTTATAGAAGTTCAGAAACTACTAATTTTCAATTTTCAAAGTCAGTAATCTTTTTTGCCAGGTTTATGATTTCTATGTCATTGGTTAGCTGCTCAAGTCAGAAATGATTCCATGCAGTACTTCTTTTTCTTTTCTGATTTCTTTTTTGTCTGTTATTGTTTTTGTTTTGTAGAAATATAAAATATCATTGAAAGACATTTTGAACTGCCAAATAAATGGAGAAATCTGTTTGGTTGTAGACTAAAAGATTATACAGAAGTTATTACTCCCTGATTAATGTATATTTAATGTAAATCTTGAAAAATCAAATGTTTTTCATTTCCATTTATTTGTTTGATATAAATTTACCAATTTAATTCCAACAACAGCTGTGTGGAAGAAACAGTAAGTAAGAAAAGCCAGGGCGCTCATAAAGAAGACAATAAGGAAATATTAGAGAATGAGTGGGATTTATCCTAAGAGACATCACTTTCTAAAGATGAGCAATTATGCTTCAGGTTTCACACCCCTATTCTTAAATGCTCCTAAATCCACAATTTTTTGAGCATTAACATGATGTCACAAGTGGAAAATTCCACACTTGTCATCACGTGACAGATCACAATCAAAATATAGACACACTAAAAGCAGTATAAAATTACCTTCAGGCTATATGCACAGCTATTATTTATGAAATAGAAATGAATTTCCTCTTTGGCATGGGTCCCATCCCAAAATATCTCGCTACATAAATGCAAATATTTCCAAATCCAAAATACTTCTGGTCTCAAGAATTTGGGATAAATGATACCCAGTCTACAGTGTGATACTGGCATGGAGCTTGGCAAATTAATGAGCAATCAGGATGGAGCCCACAAACGTCCTCCACTACTTCCAGAAACTTGCACATCACTGAGGAAAGAATGAATTCTTCAGCACAGGTGGAAAACGTTCAATTGGACGCCTACCTCCCACTCTTCACAAAAATCAGTTTCAGGTAAAGACAGATGTGAAAGCAAACCTCTAAAACTGCTGTGAGGTGTAGCAAAAAGCATCTTCCCTATCTTCACATAGGGAATGCTTTCTTTTTCCTTCCAAAACAGACAGAATCCAAACTCTATTAAAGATCTTTTCCTAAGCAGTGATATTGCTTCAAGTGGGCACAGGCAACAAATGGCAACAACTGACGACTGTGAAGCTCCCTCCTAGACAGGCTATTAGAAAAGGAAAAAAAAAAAAAAAGGAGTCCGGCAAAAGCCTACCCAAACTATGTCACTGTATCGGCCAAGTTTCCATTTGGTGCTTGGAGCAGGAAACATTTACAGAGCAGTTAGTGCTCTACACTCAGGACAGTTTAAGATTTTCTACAGGCAGCTTCTCAAAGTCCTCAATAGGAGTCTGTAGCCGGATACACGGTCAACCAAGACAGGTCACTGCAGGAAACAGGGGGCCTTTGAAGCCCATGCTGGTGACACAAGGGGAGGAGAAAAGCTCGGTGGTGAGGCACTTACCCAGCGTGTCCTGCATTTAATCTGCAGCACCGCAAACAACAACAACTAAATAATCTCTTTCCTGGATCCAGTCTCAAAGTAAAGAAATTCAAAACCAGATATTTTCTGTATTAAAAAATAAAAATTAGTGAGGAATGCAGTCAGAAGTTCACTTAAAAAGACACCGCTGTTAGCTGACAAAGTTTTTATCAAATGTCAAATCAGACATTGTATAATCTGCCAGGAGACATCAGAGACTTTTAGAATTTTCACAGTGCTGTAGCACCATCACTGCAGGCCATTTGCTGTAGCATTTGTTCTCCCATTTGCTACAGGATTGTGATTATCTCTTGTTCCCTCAGACAGTTTTAAACAACAAAGTGACAACAAAACGTGCACACACTTCCTAATGGGAATTTGTTTGCTTTCCATGTTTAGATAAGTTATTTTAAATTGTTTCAATTACATGTTCTACATTGGCTCCGATACTGGAGCCAGAAGTTTAAATAATCAAAAAGTTTAAATAAACCCCATTGCCAATAATTCCAGAGGAGGAAGGTAGAGCCATATGTAAGGGACTTGGTAACATCCTGATATTTAATAGCAAGTACAAAAGCCTTACCTCCTTGCATCTATGAAAGCAAATTAAGTTCTAATCTGATGGATTGTAAAATTTTATTGGTCTGGAGTTGGAGTGGGGTGAGGGGCAGCAAGGGTTGTGGTGAGGGAGGAGGAAATGAAGATAAATGAGGCCAACATGCAGCATGTTTTATTATTTTACAAAGACGCTCAAAATGAGAAAATACCAAAGCCCCTTAGTTCGATAAACCTGACACGGGAAACTACTTGGGCAGAGGTGCTGCAGAGTGTAGGAGAAGGTTAGGGCAGTGGTGGTGAACCTGTGGCACTCGTATTCTTGTGTTTTTCTTTTAAAATAAAATATGTTAGTGTATGGGGTGCTTGTTCTAAACCAAAACCTCAGTATTTAGATTTAATTGTAGTGTTGGCACTTTGCGATAAATAAGTGGGCTTTGGGTTGCAGCCTGAACACTCGTTCACTAAAAGATTCGCCATCACTGGGTTAAAGCAGTGGAAACAAATGAGTCTTTCTCCTCATATGAGTTCATTAGGAGTGTAGTTGTTTAAGAAATGTCCACCTCAGTTTACTCTACAATGTACCGAAAAGTATCCCTGGACTTAGTACAATTGTCTTAAATGTTTTACAAATTCTTTGGCCTATTAGTCTGATTTGTAATCTCTATATATGAAAATTAACTTTATACAGACTTACAAATAAATGAATCTCGTGCTGGAAAAATAAAATGGGATATAGGAAGGGGGAAAAAGAAAAATCTATGCATCCATCTCTTTAAAAAGAAAAGAGTAGGGCCAGGGATTTAGCTCAGTGGCGCCACACCTGCCTCAAAGGCACAAAATCCTGAGTTCAATCCCCCATACCAAAAAGAAAAAAAAAAAGAGTAAGGGTCACTGCCATTAAGTTCCATAAATACAGTCCTGTTAGTGGAAATTTGTAAATAGGCCATAAAGTTCTACGGGGCTTATGATGAACTCAGGGTCTGGTAATCTCCTGACATGGAGATTATGCAAAGCTGATGATAACAGATTTAGCCCTGTATTTACCCTTGACTAAGTTGGTGATAATTATTTTATAAGCTTTGTAGGGATCTTTTGCTTTGTTTCGAAGGCTTAGAGTTTTTACTCTCTGTTGTGAAATTCCTTAAGAACACAGTCGAGTCTGAGGGCCAGTGTTTTTCTTGAATTTCAGGAGCTGCAGAACACCACTGCCTCAGAAGGCCAGGTGGTGGTCCTGGAGTGCCGGGTCCGGGGAGCACCTCCCCTGCATGTCCAGTGGTTCCGGCAAGGAGTCGAAATCCAAGACTCTCCAGATTTCAGAATTCTACAGAAAAGTAAGGAGAGGTGCCCAATCCCTCAAATATGGCTACTTTATCCGATCTGGCTTCAGAAAAGCCAAGAAGGACTGAGTCATTCAGATGAATTGATTTCTATTTTCAAAGAGGGTTAAGACTAGATAATTTACAATGTGTGAGGTACAGTAAATTAAAACTGTGGCCCCTTTTGAAATTGGTAAAAGTTCAATATTCTTTCTTTAGAGAAAAATGCATGCATGGATTTCTACTCAAAGTTAATTTCAGGAGATAATGTTAGGAGGTTCACAAATCCATGGCCCATCTATGAACTACATTTATAAAAACTTTCCTACTGTAAAGTATTAACTAGAATTCAAGCTTCTATATTTTCAGAAGTGTAAATTGACCTGCTGCCACTTTGACTCTCACTTTTATATTATGGGAGCTGTCTACAACATTTCTGCAAACAAGTCTTAGGCGAGGCAACAGAAGGAGAGAGGTAGAATTTTTAAATTAATGGACCCTGTTCTAATTCTCTGTTCTGATTTTTTTTTTCATGTGGCAAACAGAACCTAGATCTACAGCAGAACCTGGTAAGAATTTTCTTTTTTGGAGGGCGGGGGGATGTATCTATGTCTCTTTGGGTTTCTATAGTTCTTTGTTTCAGTTTTAAAGCCATAAGCAGAACAATGTTTTTACAGTTCGCTAGAAATGTGAAACCCCCTTAAAAACAAGATCTTTATCGTGGGGTCTACACTGCATTACACATCAACTTCTTTATTAGTAAAACGTTAACTGCCACTCAGACTAGAAGGTCAAGCTCAGTTACTTAAGGCTTTTAAAAATACATTTTTATATTGCAAAAGCAAAATACTAAGCTAATGATGAAAAAACATCCTCCTAAATTCCAGTAGGAAAGAGCAACCTGACACATACTTCTACTGACCCAAATTCGCCAGCAACTAGAATTCTGGGCATAGAAATATGCCTTGTGGAAGAGTTGCCCAAAGATGAGAGCAAAGGTGACCCCCAGGGATCACTCATTTATGTGCCCTAATCTATAAACTTTTACTATTCTACAAGCATGGATAAAGTCATCATGCCCTCTCGTCTCTCCTAATCACCAGGTCATTTGGCCTCATCAGTGTGCCATGTGATCCACAGGCCCTGCGGCCAGCTGTTCCCCTGCCTCTGACCTCTTATATATTTATGAGTCCTCATAGATTAAAAAGATACTTGCCTTCGTTTGTATTTTTCCCATCAGCAAAGCCACAGTTTCACTTTTCTCTTACCAAAGGGCAGAAAAACAAGTCATTTTCCTGTTTCTGCTGTTTGTGCTTTTGCTTCAGTGTCAAGCAGATCCTGCCAAATGTGCCTAGGGAACCATGACCTTACCCTGACCCTTCTTTGGGGACTTGAGGGTTTTCTGGGGCTTCTGCAGGTCAGATTACTACAACCACTGATCCTCTCATCTATCAGGTCTGTAAAAGCAGAGCATGATCCTGTTAGTAGCCAACGTTTAAAGGATGCTAAGAAGCGTCTTTAGGGAACAACTGGAATTGATCTTCTGCCTTCTGAGTTACAACTAGAGCATGTCACCCCACTCAGTGTGTCAGTTGCCACATCAAATACAGCAGTCACTTTCCAGAATATGGAAAAATAACTCTTCATAGTTTGTCTGTGATATGTCTTTGTATAAAATTGAATAATGCTGGTTCCCTGATGTATGGAACTTCTAAGACTAAATCTATTACACAAGCTACTATAAAAATCCGATACAGAGTTAGAGTACAGTTTTTGCATTTACTATTTTCAGAGTCATAGAGAGATGACTGATGGATATTCAGACAGATACATAGAAAGGAGAGAGAGAGAGAGACAGAGAGAGAGAAGAGGGAGGGAAAGGAAGCAAGGAGGGAGGGAAGGAAAAGTTAGGAACCAAATATCTCTTTTATCAACAAGATACAGATTATTGTGTGTAGCAAAGAAAATTTATGAATTTTAATGCTTTATGTACAAATAAGACTAAAATCTTTGGCCAAAAATTCTACAATATACTATGGCTGGAATGGAGTGAGGATGCTTTAGTGGTTGTATTTTGTATTCTGAGAAAATTCATGGACTCTTTCTTTTCTCGTGTTGTTAACCACTGTCATCATCTAGTAGGTGACAATGTTGAATTAAATTTTTTCCATAATATAGTTTAGAAAAATCACAAACTAACCATCATCTGAAAATTTAAAGCATTGATTGGGAACCAGAGTTTAGTTGTGGGAATGTGCGTGTTTGAAATTGACAGCCACTTAGAATGTACTGAGGGAGAATAAACTTGGATGAAGATACAGAATGGGGACAGCTCCCAACCCGAACCTCCCCACCTCTGACCCACGTGCTGTATACTTATTCCTTTGTTTCACGTACGACTGGTTGTTTTGCTTCTAAAGCAGAATTTTGATCATACGTTATCTAATGAAATCAGTCCTGATCAGCACCTGGAGTCATCTGACACCTAGAATTTATTTTGGTTAAACATGGAAAAATCAAAGAGAAAAAAACACAAACTATGGGAGGACCATCTTTTAAACCCCATGGCCAAGAAATGTATGAAAGTTTTCCCATTACCTATTTGCTGTTTTCTAATTTTTATTTTCCCTTTAGTCATATTTAAACACATTTAAGAAAAGATGCCTCATAACAATAGCATTTGCTAAAAGCAAGTATTTTTTTTGGCATAGAAATATTTTTAAACAAATCTGTCAATACCAGAAAAAAATGACACAATGAGTGTATTCATTGTATTGCAAACACGCACTAATGAAAATTATAAAAAACAATAAAACAAAGAAGAAAATATAGTCCGGAGTTATTAAAAATAAAATACCATGAATTTTCCCTAACTTCTCATAATTGCTTTGCAATTATGTTTACCACAGCATGAGCAGAATTACTCCTTTCTCTGTCACAGTGAGACACTCAAACGCTCCCTGCTTTGTGAAATATGCAATTAGCATATAGTGTTAAAAATTCATAGCTATATTTTTAAACAAATTTAAATACATAAATGACTATTTAAGTGGCTTCTTATGTGAGTTAATACAAATAAAAATCCAGAACAAGCAGATTTATATTTAAACAAGGTTTTAGCATGCTTAATAAAATGAGATATAATTCTTTTATTAACTGTCAGTGTTTTTCTTACATTGACCTTGAGGTTGATATATCAAGGTAAATATGTATATA